CAAAGATAAAAAAAGTGATTCATTCTATTTTGATTGACAGGTACAATCAATAACAAGCATCCATTAAATATCCCTCAATAAGTGGTTGCCCATCATAATGTATTCCCGAAATTAATTTTCCTTATTCACTGTGAATTAGATCTCTTTTGAACGGTTGCCTATATAATTTAGGCGGATGCAGTCACCTTTTGGACCCCAACCTGTAACTAATTCTATTGTATAATCCACCTCTATTGAACCTAATATGTTTAATAAGCTGCTAGACTGCAAATGTTGGACCTACTGTATCATTGCCGATGAGACTAGGCAGTAAATTCAGATAATTTGCAGGTTAAAAAATGTCAGCAATTTTGTGCAGTTCTCAAGAACACTCTCGGCCTCACTTCGGGTCAGGGTTTTGATTAACCTCTTTTAAACCTTTAACTCCCAAGATCTCATTAGTCATTCTTCTTACCGTCTGCCAAACGATTCTCATAATGGTAATGATGATGATGATGATGATGACGATGACGATGACGATGACGATGACGATGACGATGATAATAATAATAATTACATCTTTAGCCAGGATAAACCTGTCAGCAATTGCTGTTATCAATGGGTGCCCTGGAAGTTAGTTTGGAGAATTTGGTATCAGATCAATTAGTAATATTATAATTGATATTTTTCTTTACTCGCATCACTTGTCTGCATGATATTCTTTAGATATAGGGAGGAGAAATTCTGTCTTGGTCACTCACGAGAATTAAAGGTTAAGCTGTCATTTTTCCCAAGTCCCTATGGACTGGGCGAAAGTACGTGACTTCGCGCGCTTGGGATGTCAAAAGTCCGCATACATACTTGGTTTGCCACTGTTTTTAAAACGAGTATTCACGTTATGCCTTTTCAGTTAAAGGAAAAACTTGAGGTGCAAACTACAATTAAAGAAGCTGAATTGACATTAATGAGGTAATTGGAATAACATTTAGGATTGTTCGTAATTTGCTTATTTCTTTCCAGCGGCGTGGTATTCTTTATACATTCCCTAAGGTGCTGGCAAGGAGAATTTGTTTACCGATCAAAAGCTTCTTTCGTCGGTGATCATTTCCTTTATTCTCATGACCTTAATGTGTGATTCAGGGGTGATATTGTAGGGAAAAATTAGATGCTGGTCGCTCTTAGGGTTTAAAGACTTAGGCTACTACTCCACTTTCTTTAATTAAAAGCTAATTGGTCTGGGAGTGAAGAAGTTGGATTATTATAAAAAAAATATTTTTTTACCAATTTAATAGGAAACAGCTTGAAGACAAAAATAAAGAGTTCTATGATCTTAAAGTGGCTAGTACTGCACAAGAAATGGGACTAAGAGATGCTCTTTTTAAGATCAAGGATTTGGAGAGTTCACTCAAGAACGAGACAGCCTTTCATCAATCAGTAGCACGCAGGTATGAGTTTCCGATGTACATATAACTTTACCGTTAGTCGAATTCCTTTCCTTTTCGTAAAACGCAAGCGGCTTCACTGAAATTCAGTCCAGAATTTTCCAAACTATTTTCACGCGCGGCTGTAACGATCACTGGATTTCAAATCCGTCTGATATTTTTTACCATGTTTTTTAATTAAATATGCAGTCGTTGTGCGGGTTGTGCATAGAACGACGGCAAGTCAGCTGAGTTTCGGCCAATTCCGTTAGGAACTTAACACTGCTCAGATAATTTATGCTGAAGTTGATGTGTGCCATTCGCAAAACTCGAACTAAAAATTTTAGTTCATTTTTTAATCGACGTCTTCCAAGGCGCAAAAGGTCCCTTTCGAATTATATCCATGTGACCCAAAGTTATCCTGTTTAGGATATATTTCCGACTCATACTGCCGTTTTAGTGAATTGAAACCCTCGAAACACAACAAAAGCTCCACAGAATAGATACAGCACAACTCAACAAAACCATCTTTCATAACTAAATTTAACAAGCGGTTGTCTCGTTTCAGGTAAAGTTGTTCGTCGTAAGTCAGCTTTCCACCGAAATTCCTTGTTCAATGATTAAAACTATCGAACTTACCCATTGAGTGTAGCAATACTGGTGCGTTTGTCTTCCTTTTCCGACATCTCATTTTCCTGACTCAGCGTTATGATATTTGAGTCAGCCAGTGACTCCCGATAAACAAAGCCTTGTGGACGCGGCTGGCCTTTTCCCGCCTTTTTTTCGCGCGCTTTTGAGTTCTGCATTGACCTGTAAGGGTCTGACATGGGTTGCTGTCAGGCCTTGGGTCAAGCCAAATTTGACAAAGGTTTCTATTCCTCTATAGTCTTATGTATTCTTTATTGACATTTTTGCCTTTTTATGTTACCTGGACGCAAAACTTAAAAGCGGAAAAACTTCTGATGGCGTTTTAAAAAAAACTTAAGCTTAGTCGCGAACGCGGAGTCGAGTTTGAATTTTTATTGAGGTTTTCTGTTGTGTTGTTCGATTATGTTTAAAAGAAACCGATTTTCCATTCGAAGCGAGTCCGTAATTATCAGTATGAGATTTTACTTCTAAATCAATCAATGTACGTTTGCTTTCGTCGAGAGAAGGGGTTTCAATAACTTTTTTCTAAAAGCGACTGTAGATGGTGTTGTCAGTAATAGGCGGCTGTGTCGAGGGGCGAAACTCAAACACAAGAGCTGTTCGCAGGCTCAAAATAGGGCGTTTAGAGATCTTACAGGCGGCAGTAGACCAACAGTAACCGGCTTTTAATGAAACTCCTGGAGAGGCCATAACAAATTATAACAATGGTAATAAAAATATTAATAATTGTTTTGTTTGTTTGGTTGCTTTTTTTCAGAAATGATCAGTTACAACAAGAAATTAATATATTGCAAGACAGGAATAAGACTGACCTCACTAACTTAAAAAAGTCTCTCGATGATGCTATTGAAAGGTGCTGAAGTGATAAAATTAGTATATTTATTTATGGTAATTAAACACATCACTGTCATGTTGGCTGTAAGACATCCCATTCGTTAGGTACCCATTTGTAGGATGTTAAATAGAACTGTTCCGATTATATCTTCTTCCCCAACATAATCTTCAGCTGGCAACGTACATCTACCTTCCGCTAAATTTTCATTTTTGAGCACTCTCACAATTCAAAGAAAGTTGAAATTTTTAAAGTCGATTTTTCTTTCTTGTTAATTCATAGTAATGAGATGTGTAATTTTGTCACTACGTGTTTGCTTCTTTAACATTCACAGACTTGAATCAGGGACCATTAATTTTTTTTCTTGTTTTTTTCTCAGAGAAATATTCGTGCGAGATAAGTGCATCGGGAACCCCAGTGCTCACACCACTGAAAAAGTAGACAACAAAACAGCTCAGAAACTAAAGGGACTTTACCTCAGGGTAAGTGGTTAATGAAATAGTATTTATACAACAAAATTTTGAATTTAGGTCGAATCTCCCCCTTTCATTTTCTTTAATCTTACGACTTCGCTTTCACACACGTATTGTCTGCACCATTTGTCACGAATATATTGAGCCCTGAGAGACCAGTCATTATTTACTTCTGGGGGGGGGGGAACGGAGGATTTCGATTGTGTCACAGTAAAATTTACCTATTCCCCCTAGGTTCTGAAGTATGAAGTATTATATGAAGAGTTTCAATGTTGACAAATGTCACAACGAATGACGAAGGGCTGACGCTCGAAACATCAGCTCTGAATATCTTTACGGAAGCCAACTTACATTATCAACAAAGTTGATAGAACCAAACTATCTTCTTTTACAGACACAGCACCACAGTTTGTTTAGAAACTGATCCCCTTTATTCCCGCCTTTTTTCTCTACTAACGACAACTGATCATGTGTTCCCCTCCCCCCAAAGTCCTCCAATCCCCCATGCAATGAAGAATTACAGGTCCCTCAAGATCCCAAATATAATCCGTCTCAGTTTTCTCTCTTTTCAGTTCTTCCTCTCTTGTCATTTGGTGTTTAGGTATCCGAACTTGAGACGCAATTAGAGCGAGAAAGAAGCGAACATTTGTCGTCCATCGCGCGTGCTCGAGAACAAGGAAGAGCTTTATCACAAGAGGGTTGTGAGCTCAACAAGGTTTATTAAATTTTTTCCTTTTTTTTGCTTACAACTGTTAAAAAAAACTGTTCTTGCTTGAATACAGTTTTTGACTAACTCACTGATTACAGATCTATGTTATTTAAATATGCATTGATGTACAAGTCACAATATTAAGCATTTCGTTTTAATCATCAACAAATTTAACTTTATAATCTATTGGTTTTGATCAAAGTAAGGTAAACTGGTGTGCTGTGCACCTTCAATCAGAATTTACATATCACATTGTTTTTACTGTTTATAATTACTTTGCATATTTGGTTGATTAAAATTGAACTTTACAGAAGAGTTCATATTTAACTGCGATCGGGGATTCCCAACGATACTGCCCAATTTTTAGAATTTAATCCCATGCCTGCTTTGAGTAAGTTCTTTTCAAATTCTATGTTTTGTTTTTCTTTATTTGAAGGTGATTTAGGGTGACATATGTACTTTCGATATATTTTTTGTCAGGCGCGTTAAAGGAAGCATGCTTTTGAAGGTCTGCTGATACAAGGAAAGTTCCTTTATCAGCAATAGAAAGTCATCGTCAAAAATAGAACTTTGGTTGCAAGGCGGGATATTAAAGCAAAAATGATTATCAGGCCTGCTTAGTTTGTCAAAATAACTATACAAACTAGCGAAAAACCCAACAACGTCGAAAAAAACTTACCTTGATCTCGGGCTCAAAATGTACCGAGCCAAAGTAAAGATAAGATGTATTATGCCGTCGTGCCCACAAGCAAGACGTTGAAATGTTTTCTCTTCTTTGGACCATGCCAGAGAAAACTTGAGTGTTATCCAATGGGCAAAAATATAACTTAGTTTTAAAAAACATGGAACAAAAGGGCCCTCTACAGTATTGAATTAAGCTTAGATCTACTCATGTTAAGAGATATCCGAGCGCTAATCAAAGGGAGATCTGCAGATGATTATGTTATGATTGTTATGATAACCTTACCATTCCCTCTATTGACCCCAGCCTCGTTTACCTGATGAGAACCAGAATTAAACGAACCTCCTCCCCCTGAGGCTCCTGAATTTGTGCTGCCGATAATCCCACCTCCCGAATATCCCCCTCCACCACCCCCATGAGTCATTCCAAAACCTCCTCCTCCAAACCCCCCATTATCCACGGCATGAAATCCTCCTGTAGCACCCGAAAGGAAACTCTTCGCTGGGTTTCCATTTCCATCAGCGTCTCCATCGCCTATATACCCAGCTCCTGAGCTTGCTTTGATTTCACCATGATCAAGGGCTTTATGCGCTGTGTTAAACCGCTGCCCTCCTGTTCCACCGTACCCGCCGTAGCGAGTGCCATTTTGGGTTGCTTGACCTGGATCTCCATCTTCAAAGCCTGCTTTGACAAGACCTCCTCCTCCTCCCCCTCCGGCAATGATAATCTTGGTCCTGTCAATTGTAAGAGTAACAAACGTGCCACCACCCCCTCCCCCAGGACGCTGCGGGAAGGTATGGGTTGGGAGACCCTGTTGACCTATGACAATCCTGAGCCTCGTGTTCTTGATGAAATAGAAAGTTCCTTTTATCCTCGCTCCCAGTCCACCAAGCTTCCATTCTTTGCAACTCTGACACGTCCCATTACCTCCAGACGCGCCAAAAGCCTCTATGGAGTAGGTACCGGAGATAGGGACTTTCCAAAGCTGGTATCCATTTTCAATGTCTACTTGACCCTCTAAACTGGTGCCACTGTAACCCACTACTTCCGCTGTTGTTGGTCCATGTGGGCCTTGAGCTCCCAATGATGTAAAAGTGTATCGTTTCAGTTCAGCATCCACAAACTCGCCATAAACATATCCTCTGATTGGCGTGAGGTTCACCTCTCGGTCGCCATGACAACGGCGCTGGTTAAGCTCGCACAAACCTTCACTGTCAATTTCTTGTCGTTTTTTAAAGTTAAACGAGAGACAACCTGGTTTTGATAAGCAAAATTGCGAACATACCATGCTTCCTTTGGCAACACGACTGAACATCACATGTCCTACCAATGCATAGTTATGTCGAGTGCCAATCAAAGACGACTTCCAGACGTCGGAACGTGTCAAGGCCAATGAGAGCGGAGTGAAACTCAGTAAAAGAATCACATTTAGTGTGACCAAGTTTCTGTAAAAATAAATATGTTATAAATCAATTGATATAAATGGGTTTTTTACTTTGTTTTGTTTCGTTGTTTGTCTGTTTTTGTTTTGAATATTGCTTTTATTAATAGAGATGTACTCTTTCTGATTCTTCGAATAAAGAGATCATGAGGGGCCAGAGATGAGGAGTACTCTTGCTTCAGGCCTTTGTAAACGTAAATTCTGAAAAAAACGAAAAAAAAAAAGGAAGGGGTTTTGAAAACTAAACCTAAGGAAACCTATGCATTTCCCTAGGTTTAGTTACATTTTTTGGTCCGTGCGAAGCAGTGAACGTGATCGAAGGCGGGTGTTTTCAGACAAGATATTCGCTCCATGTCCTCGCAGTCCTGATCGTCTTAAGATAATTTATGAATTTAAAAGATTATTTGATACAGAAAAAAGATATTTGAATTAATTTAAAAATTTTTTATTCAATCATTCAAAACTAAGTCGAAGAAAGTCTTCAGGCTTTTTTTGTGGAGTTTTCAGTTCAAAGTATTCGCGTTAACTTACGTGCTGTTATGCTGTGTAGCAAAGTGAGCTTACCGACATAGAGGTCTGAATGACGCATACACTGTCACAGTAAAGCATTTTCCATGATTTGCTTATAGCATCAACAATTTTTGAGCAGAATTCATTTATACCACACATAATTGATCTTTGACATAGCAGTTACATTACGACAACAAAGTAATGCGATTAAGATTTGGTGTTTGTTTTGGAGTTATGAATCGAACGTCAAAATAATTAAAAGTTGAACATGTTGAAGTGGTTTAGTTGCACAGAGCAATTTCACTGACAATACCCAGTGTTACATTTAGCTATGAAAATCTGCTTTGTTTTTCTCTTTAACCTTTATGGCACTAGTCGGTTAAATTGATTTTATCCTTAATCAAATTTAAGGAAACTTTATTCATAACTCATTTTTTTCTGTCTAAGGAATTTGTTGTCGAAGTAAATTCTGGTTTATTTTGCCTTTAAGTTTCGACGAATCACCAGATTAACATGATCGTCTGCGATTACGAACAAGGTCTTGTATACGAAAATCTAATTGTGATTGTTGCCCAATTTTCACATTAAACTTAAATGAAAAATTACCCTACCTTCTGGACTTTACTTTAACCATCTTGTTGACCATTCCGAAATTCTAAAGGTTATGACGAATTTCGACTTTGTAAAAGGCTGTCAGCAAAGTTTGAAGGAAATATCACAGTGTTCAAAACTAACGAGATGCAAGGAAAGTGTAATGTAGCGAGCCTTCCGCCATCGCTAATAAATGTTTGCTCAAATGCACTAAAACCCTAAATTGAGTAAACTTACATGTCAGTCACAAACCGCTGATGTTAGAGTTCAATCCGTCACCAGCTGTTTCGAGAAAGCTCTTGAAGAAGCCCGCTGCTTGTAATTATACCTCATTATCTTTCTTTAAAGGTTTAAAAAGAAGAAAACAAAATCTGTTAATATAACGCGACTACAAAGTGCATAATTTCAAACGTTCCCATCCAATTTCAGACGTTTCTCGATGATTTCGGAGGTGCCTTCAGATTTCAGGCTTAAATAACGTCTTATTTTTGACGGTTCAGCCATAATCAAAATGGTTCCTATTCTTTAAATGCAAAAGTTCTCATTATTAAACCTACAGGCTGGTGTACGAAAAGCGCGAAAACTGACGTTATTTCGCACGGTTTATGGCAGACAACAACACTCGATTGGTCAACACACCATAATGTCCTTGTATATTCCAGACAACCGTGGATTTTTAACTCGAATGTGTTAGAACGTCACCAATTTTTCCACGAAATGCAAGGGAAGAATTCATGGAACCGTCTTAACTTAAGCTTCCACGAGACGCGTTCATTTCTGAATTGACAGAAGCACCTCATCAAAGTTTTTATACGCGTTAGTCAACGCTGCTTTGTTTAATCCTTGAGGCGATTGTTGGTATCCCTGACCAGAAAGATTTCCAGCGGAAATTATCCTTATACAATCTATGGTATTTGATGGCAGATTAAGGACTTGGTGGCTGTAGGCTTAGATGCAAACTGTGTTTTATCTTAAATTTCAATATACCGTGTGATTAGCAAAAATGGACGACAGTAGCTTTTGAAGGTGCAATTCTTCGTAAGTAATAAATTCATTATTGACCGAGTTTTTTGGTCAATGACACGAGCTTATGAGTGCAGCGTCTGAACTGGCCCTAGTTCTCCTTGAAATTATTTACAGTTTAAATATTATATTTATATATTATATATTTATATAAAGCAGCGAATATGATCTGCATTTTATATATTTATATATTTATATAAAGCAGCGAATATGATCTGCATTTTTAAAGATAAGTCAACTCTCCCATTTATTTTCCCTTTATTAACAGGAACGATGGTTGCGGAAAGGATTTGTAATGGGATAATCTGACATGTTTCAATTCAGTAAAATTTAATTTCGTGAAAAGTGTGTGAATTTCTTGCCTTCCTGTTATACCTAACAAAAGAGTGAGATTTGAAATGCAAATAATTATACATGCGGGCTTTGGTTAAGTAATTAATTGCTAGGCTAGTGGTATCCTTTAATAAGATTCCTATACGATCTCTCACGTGAAGTGGTTACACCTTTGCCTCCACTATCAGAAAAGTCTATATCAAATGATGACGCTGAACGCGTTCTAAGAATCGTCTTCAATTGCCATTGCCCGTACTTGTCATTTAGTTGATTTGACTAAGTAGTTTCTTGTTCTCATATACGTTAGTTTTTGCCTCTCCGCGGTACTTCTTCTGTAATAGTTTAATTGACATGGCAAAGGCGAAAAGATGGACAAAAAATCGAAATAGCTTATAGTTGTTCAGCTATAGGCGACGGTTTGCATTGAAGATGTATTGGGCTCTCTTCGGCAAAGATATTGGAAAATAATTCAATATCTATGAATATAAGAAATAAGAAGATATTTAGATATGCCTCTCAAATTAGAAGATATCTGACGAAGGGCTAACGCTCGAAAATCATCTTTGAAGTGCTTAACGGTCGCCAATTTACGTTTTCAACTCAGTTGATGATACCAAATTGCCAAGGTATTTTTTTTGCCATGTTTGCAAATGTAAGGATTTCTATTGCTGTGAGCAGCTACATTATTGGCTCACACTGGCGTTTTCTTCTGTACGAATCTAAAATGCTTGTTTAAATTTAAGTCTTCATAACTAATTCAAGTAAGATAAAAGGAATTAAAAGTTGAAGCCTAAAAGTGGGAACCCTTAAGATGAAAGATTGAGGCAGTACAACTGAAATAAAGAGAAAGTAAATGGAAGAGATGGTGCAGCGGAGATACAAATTAAGTTAAAACTGTTTGATGTAAATCTTTTGAAAAGGTGATTAGGGTCGAAAGTGGATCTTGAACGATATATTTATAATCGGACATTTAAATGATGCCATCATCACTACATTCATGGTTTTAGATATTGAGAAGGTAAGTTGGTTTATCATTCTGTTTTCAGGGCACGTTTCCCGTCATTGTGTTTCAATTCACCGAGTGTTCTCGTAATGTTGGCCACTGACTTAACTCCTGTCCCTTAAGAAAGGGTGCTAAATTTTTTCACTACGCACAATGAAATATTGCCACTGAGATCATTAATACGGATGTAATCACTTTTCCTTAGAAATCGATAGCAGAAAGTTTGATTTTTTTATTCTTATTTTCCATTTTCACCGATTTCTCACTCAACAGACAACATTGTTAATAAAAAGGACACCTATTATACAGTTACTGTTAAATACTTCATTTTATTTTTCGGTCTACCTAGGTACATTATCTATTTCTTCTCATTTTAAAACGCCTGGGTCACTCGAAAGTCTCATTTTCAAGTTAAACGTTCAAAATATGTACCCAGAATAGGCACCTCAAAATGACTGCTACGCCAAAGCTTTAACATAAGTTTAACCAGATTTTAGACGGATGCGAGCATAAAAAACTTAAAATGCACGAATATCGCTTAAAGGTCTTGATGCTGATACAGAAAGTAACCTTTCAAATTATATTTCGAAGATCATCCTTTTTTCCTAAACGTCTAACTTCAGCAGGTATGAATAAATGTTCTGTTTTAACCCATAGAGAGGAGCAGGAATAAATGAAGCAACCTCCTGTGCCTCAAAAAGAGTTTGGTAGAGAAAGTTGCTTTGGATAAGCACGGTCTAGCTATGAATAGTTATAGTCCCTGCTCTCTACAGTTCAGTTTGTTATTTGTCAGCGTAACTTCCATTAATTTGTAACATAGCTAGTAAATTTGTGCAATCAAATTTAATTAGGCGAGCATGTTTCAGCAAACAAATACCTCTAGAAAAAAAAGGTTTTTCATATATACATGGTGAGGTACTCACTGAAAGGGTGCAAAACACAGTATTGGTGATAATCCATTCAAAGGCGCGTGCCGTATTTTGCACGTGTGGAGAAAACGATACGTCCAATCAGGAGCCGCTTTTCATGCTTTTTGAAGTGTGAACCATAACAATGGGATTCTCATTCATGCTTCTTTGGCAGCGTTTAACTTCTCAACCGTTTGCAAAATTGTACAAATTATCTCGCTGACGAACTGTTTTCAAAGTCGAATTCTTTGAGAAAACGAGTAAGAAAAGATCTGGTTGAGATTTCCGCTCTGCCTCATACTATTGTAAAACAAAGCTTTGGTCCCAATGGCAATCTGTTGTTTTTGCCATTGTTTCCTTTATCCAATAACTGTATGCACAACGAAATATGAGGCAGAGTGGAAATCATAAAGAGATTTGTCGCTTTTGAAAATTCAACGAAGGATTTTTTTCGAAGGCATGGAGAAAAGAAACATGAAAGCAAAGACAAGGTGAGATGAGCAACCATTCGAAGAATGTCTGAGAGATGAAAGAGCGTAAGTACACATGATTGAAGAAGTAATTTGCGGAGTTAATCACCTTGTTAGACGTAACTTGGAGAAGATTATTAACCCACAGAATACGCCATAGGAAGTCTGTCCGAATGGTATTTACACACTGTTTGGTTATTATCAGAAATCTCAATCGCTCGTCACTGATTTCTGATACTTACCGATTCGTGCATAAATACCATACGAAAAGACTTTCTGTGAAGTATCCTACAAATCCGCCATTCCAAAATTCGTCCAGTTTAGCTGCGAGTTTCAAAGTTTACAAGATGGTTTTCGATGGTTTTTTTTATCGTTCCATCACGATTGAGACAGTCCTTTTTGAGATCAGAATGAAAATTAAGTATTGAAAGGAAACGATTTGGAAAACAATAGGCATTTAAGCCTTAAAAGCGACCACATCAGCTTTCGAGTTAACGATGCTTTGATTCAAAAACGCGATACGAATTATGGCTAGTAAATGAAAACTGAACTTGTTGACTTTAAGTGAGGCATTGCTTATTTTGGATCGGTATAAATTTTGTAATGTTCCTTATTGTTGAACAGAAGATTTTGTTTCAAAAACAGAGAACATCCATACACAACGTGTATGTATCATTCCTTTTCAGTTCTCTTTTTATCACTTACCTCTCAGTTACACTTTCATTCAGAAACGTCATGCTTTGTTCCAAGCAATAATTAAAAGTATATGTAAATACTGAGTTTTTTTTATAGCGTCAGTCAAACAGTTGGGCCAAAGGCGAGGTGTTTTGTTTCACTAGAATCTTTCTTAATAGTTAAGGCTCAAGTATATTAAATTTACTAACATGATGATAGGTAATTTTTAGAGTGTGAAGGTTTATTCAGTGACAATGACACAACCTATGTTATCCACTGCTATGTAGCTGGTCAACAGAAATCTAACTCTTGTGATACCTGTGCAGTACAGAGATGTCGCATTATAAAGTAATGATCCTTTCAGGAGATCCTTTGCGAGTCCCATTTTGGTGTTTCTTTTCATCAGGTGAGCGTTCTCCGATATACTCGGAAATCTTATTGTTATTCGTTCCTGAAAAGTCACCTTTTAAGTTGGTAGTCTAGATATTTATCCGCTGTTCGTGAAATGAGCCCACGCTCTTCCCCGTAGAGAGGGAGAAGGACGAAGACAAGATTCAAGCGGACGGCGAAAATCGAGCCCTTTAAATTTACGGAGAGAAAATTCGAACAAGATTTGGTCAATGAATTGCACAAGAACAGAACTAAGACATAAAAAATAGACTTGAAGTACAATATATAATAATCTCCCCAAAGAATTTCCGTTAAGACCAATTGTCTGTTATATTGTGGTCTTATTGCACTAAAAATCTCAACCGTACAATGTTCATAAGTTTCTTTGCTTAGTTCCGTCCTTGATCTGAACAAATCAGCGGTGATCTCGTCTTTTGTGATTTATGGCTAATGGAATGAACTAAGCAGGAAGCCCATCGATCTCTGAAGTCTTTAAACCAACTGCAGCTTGAAAAGCCTATTTTTCACGAAGGTAGAGAAACCCTGAATTCAACTTTAGAGGCTTTAGACACCTTTTTTTCATCCACAGATGGAAGAGTTTCAGGATTCTCTTCTCGCTCTCTTTTCTGCTTTTTCTCGAGTGTTCCAACAGTCCACGTCATTCATCACGTCTAATTTATCAACGTAATAATGACTTTACCGTCTCCTTCATTGACTCCGCTCTCATTAATTTGAGATGTCCCGTTGTTTATGGAGCCCCCACCACCCGCAGTTCCAGAGGAAGGATGGTTTCCCTCAACTCCACCGCCGGAATATCCACCTCCTCCTCCAGGCAGGAGCAATCCATAACCCCCTCCGCCAAATCCTCCTTTTGAGAGGTCTACGTTAGCACTGATTCCTCCGTTTTTGAAGCTCATAGCCATTCCGTTTACGCCTTTACCATCTCCCCAGATCCCTGCTCCAGTTCCAGCCATCAAGTTAGGATCCGAAAGTCTTCCACCTGAGCCAGCCTTACCTCCATGCCTGGAACCTTCTTGACATGCTTGCCCAGGGTCCCCGTCTAAATTCCCGGCAATTGAAACTGGGGCTCCCCCTCCTCCACCTGCCACGACAAGAGGCGAATTGTCCATGAATGTAACAAAAGTGCCCCCGCCACCTCCTCCTGGGGATTCCCTAAATTTAAAACTTATCTGCCCTTCCTGTCCGACTAATATCTTCAGCCTCTGGCCTCGCTCAAGTTCAAAGGAACCGGTGATTTTTGCACCCAGTCCTCCAAGTCTCCACCCCAAACATGAGGCACATGTCCCATTTGCACCTGAGGCACCAAAAGCCTCGATGTAATAAGTTCCTGTGTGAGGAACTGTCCATTCTTGAATTCCATTTTTGAGTCTCACATGACCCTCTAGCGTTGTGCCTAAGTACCCTGATGTGTTAGTTGGCCCAGTCGGTCCTTGCGCGCCTAGCGTAGTGAAAACAAACTTGATGATGGGCACTATTATCAAGCTGCCGTGTAGAAAGCTTGCTTTCGACGCTAAGTCTCTGTGTTGTGATGATGAATTATTCAGCTCGCATAGGTTGGAGTCTTTACCAAAGTTAAAAGATTGACATCCTGGTTTCGACAAACAGTCGTGTGCACATAAAGTGACTCCATCAACATAGTGAACTGTTATTACGTGACCTAATAAAACTTTATCATCCCAGATAGTTAGATATGAAGAACGGAAGGTATTGTCGGTGCTGTAACACTGAACAAATGATGCAATCACCAAGATCAAAACTGGAAATATACCAAACATTCTGTGTCCCTGTAAAATAATTCGATGATTTGTTAAAATTAATCTTGAAAAGGAAATTACCCTGTCCTTTACTCTGATCCCTTGTGGCTGCGTTTATCGTCTCCTAACCTGCTACGGAAACTTTTATATCCTTCTTAAGTTGCATTGAGTTTATATTAACAACTAAAACTTTATAAAACTGTTGTTTACTTCCTATTGCTTAGGAAATAAGGAATTCTTATTGAGGTGTCAGTAGATTCTGAGTTGTTAAAATCCCTCTTACATTTCTCAAGTAAATTATAAGCTTATAAGTGTGAGTGTTAGTCTATTGCATTTTTTTTCTTAAAATTGGTAACATTTCTAAAGATTTGTTTTAAAAAGAGGTTTAACTTTTAGTTGTCACAACACAAGCTCGAGATGTTACACACGAGAGCTTTATGAATGGTCCTTCTGCCGGTCTGGTGCGCTTGAAAGGTTACGTGGGGAAGGCAAAACTGAGTTAGTGGTCAGGAGTTGACATGGTTATGAATTCAAAGAATATTTCATTTCGCGAGCTTTTGGGAAAACTTCTGCGACTCAAAGTAAACATCTTATTTATGTCTCACATAATAGATTATAAACAGTTTGTTTGAGGTTTTTCATATAGAACAACGTCATAAGTTAGCCGAGAGTTTTCTAAAAACTGATTTGTCCTAAAGTTACAGAAAAAATTCCTGCTTTTGGCCAAAGCCGGGTCGTATGGTATTTCAGTTCAAGCTATCATACGAATAGAATACTTTTGTCAGTTGAATCTCAATTTGCTACAAGTATTAGTCCCGCTGTTTTACTGTAGGCGCAATGCTAAATTCATTTTTTAGCTCTCCTTCATTATTTTCTGAGTTGGAGAGTTAAACTTGTTTTTTTCAAGGCGACTAAAATGCAGGAAATGTTTATGCTAATTCGTATGTAAATTGATATCACTGGTCCTGATTGATTACAAAGTGTAACTTGGCAAGCGAGTGAAACTGAGTGTTCCTCTCATATCGTTTTGTGATCGGAATGGAATATAATTCCTTTTTTAAGTAGTCGAAAGATCCTCGAAGTTAAACAAACAAGTTTTTAAATGGTAATGTCGCAGTCAATACAACCAAACTTCAGCACCTCTTTTATCCGTAAGTCTTTAGGTAAAATGTTATGGTTCAGATTCATTGCAAAATATAATGAATTAAATGAGTCGTGATGTCAAAAATGAGTTAAATCAATTTGCAATCAGATTGGAATATATTTTTATCACGAGTGAGTGAAAGATATGATTGATGTTCAAGAATACATCAATATCAATCATAATATAAAGAAGAACCCCCAAAAAACAAAATGTTCAGTTATATGTTCAGCAGCCGCCTAGCCGATCACAAAAGATATTTTCACAACTTTAAATTCTAATTGAATTTTCCTTTGCTGTCGCAAAGGATAGATTAAAATGTCAGTCATTTGTGGATTCATGATTTCGTGTGTTTTCTTACTCGTTGAATTAAACTTCCTCCCTGTCCGCTGAATGTGACGAAAATAAACAGTTCTAAGCTTTCAATGTATTTGCAAATACACCTTACGCTCAAATTAAATACAAAAATAGAAACTTTATTAAAAATTGACGAATATGTCGACTCAGTACTTAACTGCATTCAGCATGGGTTAAAAGAAGGGTTAACCTGTTGCAAAGGCTTGAAATTGCCGACCTAGCCTTTCCTAGACTTTTAGAATTAAAACTGCGTCCAAAAAAATTACTTAACTATAGTTTTCGTGCTATAGTCGGTCTCCAACAAATCTTTGTTCTCTTGATTTTGGTATTGGATAAAACCAAGAAAAACAATAGTGTCTATTGATATATAATATATTTCACTTACAATTAGTCAAATATCTAGGTATTGTAATTCATCGAACTCACGCTAAAACGAACTACAGAAATAATGCAAGGTTCAAAGTTTAGTTCCGTGTTATCATTTCCTTCTTCCAATGTCATCTGGCGGGAGGAGTGCTTTCCTACTTGGAATTATTGCGAGGCCGCAACACTTCGACCTCCAGGCAAATGAAATATTGGCTACTCAATGAAAAGACCATAATAATGAAAACGTTTCTAAATCGTATTCCCGATTTACTCACCGTATCAGGCACTATGCACACGGGAAATTAAGGAATAGTAGAATGGTTCAGTTGTCGCGCAGAAACATCATCCTAAAGAAGAATTATCAACCAGATGCTCCGGTCGTAGTCAGATATCGTCTGTTTACTTACGGAGGCCACTTCTCATTGGTTAAGAGGCTTGACGTTTTTGACAGAGAACTTAACAGCATTCATTGTCAAAGGCGCTTGTGCAAATAATTTCGGGGGTAGGATCGTCATATTCACCAGTTGTCGGGAATGTGTGTGATCCGAAGTCCCCGTTTTTCAAGGTCCAACAACGTTAATCAACTGAAGAATGAAGGGAAAATAGCACTAAGTAGCAACCTTTGTTACTGATTCCATGCTAGAGATAATGGTATAATTGTTTGAAGTAATAAAAAGGAAGCCACGACTTTTCGTGAAAATTATTAAGGCTCTACTTGGTAAATATTGATTCGAGTGTGTCGGAGAAATTGAAAAAATTAATATCACGTTGTCGACTCAAATTTCAATTTTAAAAATCTGTCTCCCTGGTTTTTTTTTAGTCAAAAGACTAGGTCAGTGTTTTTCTATATTACGAAAACTGGTTATTCGCTTGTAAAGCTGGTAAACCTTGCCAAACTTGTTCACTCGAAGACAGTTAGTTAAAACCGCAAATTATAGATAGCTTTGAACTGACTTCCCTGAATGCCAAAGTTTACCTTTAAATTCTTCTTTTTAATTAATTTCTTCCTGACGTCAAAAACTACAGCTTTTAATCTGCTTTGGCAAGAGAACTGCGTTTGGCAGGATGTTGTCAACACTCACAATGGTATGAAGCTAGATTTAGAGATAGAGAGTGATCCTGATGTAGATGTCTACTCAAAATGTAACAACAAAAAGATGAAAGGTTGCACGTACGAATTTATTTTCCTTCATCGGAGAGTAGTTGAACTGTTTGCAAAATATTTGCACTGACTTATAGTAAAGTTGAAAAACAACACATTGTGATTAAATAAAACGTGGTTCTGTCTCAACTTCCATGGGGATGACTGGTCGCGTTACATGATCTTGATTTACAAACAACAAAAACTTATTAAGAATTAAAAAATTAATTTAATTTCAAACCGACAATTTTAGTGCCATACAACACGTTTTAAAGACAGTGAATTTTGATTGAGTCGCTTGGTTAGGAAAAGTGGATCTATCCTGCTCGTCATGTTACTGACGGACTAACATTTGGTTGTTTATCAGAAAAAAGGAAAAAAAAATAGACGCTGCCAGCTGTAAAGCAAAACAATTAAGGGTTAAATCAGCGATACAAAAATGTACAAACTTAGCAATATAACAGCCATATTGTAGAAATTAAAACTACGCATAAACATTTGATCATTATTCTGTTAAATAGTAAAGGAATACTTTACCGTGAAAGCAGCCTTGGTCGAGTACAGTGAAGGATTTTCCTTTTTCATAAATAACAGCCTCGTTATTTGAAATGGACTATTCAACCACCATATTTTGTTTCAGTCAACATAGTTAACTTTTTAATAGCGGTTTATTTTCCTGGGATGTTTTCTTCACAGGCGATGTCGTGATATTTTTTGTTTCCATTTATGGCATTGAAGTCATCAAAAACATAGCATTGTTTGTTTTTGTCTGTTTTTTTGTTACGGTAGAAAATGCTAGTAGAAGAAAATAACAACTTTACAGAACTTTTTCGGTGTTATATCGAATGACAATTTGAAAATTGTGAATAATTACAGAAATTAGCATTGTATCATCAACCAATTGCACCAATAGCGAAAAATTGTCGATTAATTAGTTAAGATTGTACAATCAAGTTTTAGTCTCCAAAACAAATTTGGCAGAGCGGCAAACCCTTTGACTCAATCTATTACCCTGTTTTGCGCGCTAACTAAGGTTTCCATAACCGGATGAAAATGCGTCGAAGGCTGTCATGACGTCTCCGCTGGTTAAAGAACGAAGTTGGAAATTTTTTTATGAAATGGTAGCAAAAATAGACTTTTCTCAATTTGGCCATGTTGCTTTGTTCGTGTTTGTTTGCCGCGAATTATGAAAAAACTTTCCAAAAAAACCCGAGAAAAAATGTTGATCACAATCCTGTGAGATAAGTAATTGAAACATTTTACAAGATTTCAAGCGGACATTTGATAACTTTTTTCTTTCAGAGATCTTTCAGTGACACCTGAAAACGCCTAAAGATGATCGTAGCGTTTTACTTCGAGTTATTGTTTTTCGGCAAAGAACTGTTTGTTACGATGTACGTCATACTTGAACTCGGGCACTCCCCTCAGTGTTTGTCCGGAGGTCTATTGACGTCATCCTTGTGTTCCTTGGTATGGCTTCTGTTTGGATTCAGCTGCAATTACTGGATCAAAAAAACATATCAATTCTAGCAATGGAATGATTAATCTCGAGAATTTGAAATCAGAGAAGGAGATTAAATCGTGTGTTATTGTTAAATTTTACAGGCGTATTTGTTGGTTTGTTTGTTGGTTTTTGTTCTCTTCAGAAGCGACTCGTTCGTCTGTCGAGGCGTTAGCTTTACAGGCAAGTGTTTTTTTCTCCTCCCTTTTAAAGGGCAGCCTTATTACGTCAGAATAAAAGGCACTGTGTCCTTGAATGGCTTGTTTTCAATAATTTCTATTCAGTGATAATCATGAAGATAAAATATTTTTTATGCCATTTTTGCTGATCCAAGCCGGTCACTTCTTGGGCGGTGGTGACATTTTGCTCTTCAAAAGCGATGTGGACCCGGATTACAAAGCAATTTAAGGTAGGATACAAAAATTAATTGTTATCGATTTTTGTTCAAGGAGGCTTAAAGATACATAAATGATATGACAGAGAAGGTTTTGATTGATACTAGACTTAGAAATTCA